CTTGATGTAACAACATTCATAATTAAGTAAATGTAACACCCTTTTCACCCCAGTTACACGTTTCATTTGCCCTGTACGATGGGTGCTGTAAGCGATGAAAGTGGGGAATGTTGGCTTATCAGGCGCCCGCAGCTCACAGCATAAGTGCGAGTAAGCGTGGGAGCGAGCGAGGGAGAGAGAGAGGGCGCACCGGTACCGGCGCTGTTGTTATTAACATATAGTGCTAGCTGCTCTAACGGATATAAGAAGAAGATGTTCTATCTCACACAGGCTTCGCCCTCTACTGGACTCTATGGGTACTACTCTCATCAATGATACGCGAGCATTCACACAATGAAGTTGTATAAACGTAGCCGGCAAATCAGGGAGAGCCTACCTGAATGAGAGCGCATATAAGGAAGCTACACCTCCTGACTGTCATTCTTTTCTCTTCTGCGAGCAGGACAACACCTGACAGAGAAAAGTAAAACGTTTGAAAGAAGAAGAAAGAAGTTATCATACCTTTATGGAGTCGCCACTTCTAGAGACCCGGGCCTGTCCTTCGTGCCCTGGCTTAATCGCGGGCGCCGGTCCCCACCACCTCTGCTTTGAATGTTTGGGGGATAAAGTAACCTGTGTTCACAGTATCCAGCTATGAGTTTGCTTAAACATATGTGTGTGCTTAATTACTTTGTATCAAATAGTAACAGTTTGTATAACAAGAAGCTGGAAATATGAGAAGTGAAACAATTGTATTAGGAGATGTGAGAGATGAGATATCCTTATTTGGACACAGCATGTCAAACATCTGGAAGGCTGCATGGTAAAATGAGTGTGCGTTAAACATGCTAAGGGAAATGAGTGTGCGTTCTGTCAAGGAGTCCTAAGTATGTGTATGTAAAGTTCTACTATTTCAAAAGCATTGCTGTAGGACTGCTTGAGAGCAGAGGTAATGTTTTCCTCATTATTATTGATATTAAGGTAACTCACATGTATTACTTGTATTAGCCAACTATAAACAACTATATCTTAAACATGTCTTAAAGATGCCAAAAGTATGTGAAACTGTGTGTGTATTAAACTGATGGGGGAGGGGGCCGGAGAGAAGGAAGTCTATGCAGAATGTGTGTGTGTGTGTGCAGGCTGCCAGATGCAAGATAACAAACTTGTTATTCGGAGCAGTTCGTGCCGGACACCAAATGTGTCTGTTTTACCTCAAACTTAAGAGACTCTTGTTTCCAGGTCGCCTCGGCTGGCTCGCGCTGATTCGCTGCAATAGGCTATCGTTTTTTTATCTCCCAATAAGATGAGCCCTAGGGAGGAGCAACCGACACAACTCCTCCCCACTTGTGTGTATAAATATTATGATATTCTTATACACGGCGCCCTTCTGACTGACCGTCCCCGATAAGTGTATCGCACGGTAGTAGAATTGAGCCCAGAGTACTCTGTATTTTATATTGTTGTTTTTTACCATTAAAACAGGTTATTGTTTAACCTTTATAATGGTGCTTTGAATTCCTTCTTTTATAATTTAACCAGCTCATCAAAGGACGCGCGGAGCCGAGGTGGGTTTCAGACCACTCAGCGCTCCAACAAAGTGGTGACCCCGACGTGATAAGTAGGGTCTCATAGAAGGAACACCAACAGCCAGCGGACGAACGGTCCAGGGAAGACACCTCGAATAATCTCTGACAACTAAAACCAGGGCCCTACAACTGAAAGGTGAGCAGATACCTTATTATCAAATATCTGTGATTGGCTATATAACCCACATTTTAGAGTTGTCAGGGACATTCCCAGTGTCATAGTCTTAGCAGTAAAAAATACAATACATATTTTAGCTAGGTAGGAAAGTTATATAAGATAAAAGTGAAGCAACGAGGTGTGTAAGAGGATGGTGAAAGGCCCTGTAGGTTTTTCAGAACCATACGGCTAACTCGTTGGGGAAGTTCAGTGGTTTTCTAAAGACTCCATCCAGAACAAAACAGAATAACACTTTCCAGTCTCATAGGAGCTGCAGTTGTGTTATATGTGGGTATCCAAGAGGAGAAACGCAACTTTCAAAAAGCCATTTGAAACGACCGGATCTCACTATCTCTTGTTCTGTTGGGATAATCTAAACGTGACGATAAAGAGATTCTGTAGACTTGGGTTCCGACGCCTTGCTAAAAGCCACATCGCCGGAAGGGGGTGTTGAAGCGCTTTTTAGAAGTCTCTCCATCTGTTGAAATATACATCGCACTATAAAGGCCAGATAGACTGTACGGAGAATATAACAGTTTGTGAATACATAGAATAAGTGAACATAAATCAACCTTAGTCAGATAAAGAAATACGAAGTCATAATGACATGGAAGGAGGATTTGAACGAGAAGAACGTGAACTAGGCGTCCCAGTACCAGGGAGCTTACGGGACCAATGGGCTCAAGCAGAAAAATTGATTAGTAGTTGGATTAAAACGACAGATCATAAAAAGTCCTCCACAGATCTCCGTTTCCTACGCAATAAAATGATAGCAGAAGACAGAGTAGGGGGAGACGAGGCATTCCGAAATCTGTGTGTTGATTGTTCTGTCTGTTGGTTGTCATTGTTGATTCGTAAAGGTCTTGTTTTATGTTGATAAATGTTTTGCTGTAGCATAGTTTGTTGTTCATTGTTCAAAGAAGCCCCCCATCTCCTGAAAAGGCTGAGAGCTCCAGCCGGGGTGTGTCAGTATTTGTCTGTGAAAGTATCTTCCCCCTCTTTCTGATTCTGTAGAAGAGGAGACCCTTTGTTTCATCAGCCGGGAGAGCAGCAGTGTGTCTGCTTGCTCTTTTCTCTGATGCCTGAAAGAAGGAGTGAGTTTAAAAATAAGGAGTAGAAGATCAATGAGTGATCTGAAGTTGGAGTGAATACATTGAAAATTAATAGATCAATGTGTGATTTGATGTAGTAGATATATTGAAATAAATAAGAAACTATAATTTGTTGTTTTTAGCATAGTTTTTGTAGGATACAGTTACGTCACATTGTGGTTTTTATGAGAGGTTTTGAGAACTGATTGTTACCACATTGCATTGCATTGTGAATTTCATGGTATTTGTCATTAACTAAGAATTGTACTTAATTATATTTCAAGGGAAAAAATTATATTACATACAGTAACGTTAAGGGAAAGTAAAAAGAGGTTTTATAAGTTTGTCAGTCAGAAGGAATCTGTTAATGTTTAAGCATGACAGAGGTGCTGCACGATGCTTGCTCAAGCCATCTCACACTGTTGGATAACACAAAGAGGTCAAGTGTGATTGATTAGAGAAGCTTGTGGACAGCAGGCAGCTGCAGGGCAGAGTGAGGAAAGAGAGAGACAGGAGAATTAAGATGTTTTGAAGAGTCTAGAGAGAGTAAAAGTTATATAAAGTTAACTACTATTCTGGAAAATGTCATTGTTTTATGAGTAACATAAAATAAAAATATATTTACTCGATATAAGAACAACATGCTTATCTAGGTTAACAGAAAGTTGCTATTAACCAGTTTCAGTTGTAACTATCCTATCTTTGTTCTAAATAGAACATACGTTGAAAATTAATATTAAGAAAGTTCACAATTG